CCCTCCCCACTATCATGATCCCAATTCAGCCTTGCAAATCTGGCTAGACCAGAGGATGTACCTTGGTACAGATTGCAACTGGAAACACAGAGAATCCAGGATAGATGACTCCTTCAGGACCAGTGGTGAGAGGGGCGATGCCTAGAAGGTGAAGGGAATGTGGGGTCGCAGAGGGGAACCGATTACAAGAATCTAAGTATAGCCTCCTCCCTGGGGGGTGGACAGCAGAGAAGAGGGCGGAGGGAGACGTCGGACAGTGTAACTTATGATAAACTATAATAATTTATGAATTATGAAGGGTTCATGAGGGAGGGGGGAGGGGGAGGAGGGGGTAAATGAGCAACTGATATTAAGAGCTAAAGTAGAAGGGAAATGCTTTGAGAATGATAAGGGCAACAGATGTACATATGCACTTGACACAATGTATGTATGTATGGATTGTGATGAGAATTGTACGAGCCCCCAATAAAATAATTTTAAAAAATGATTTTCCTTTGAAGATGTCCCTTTAAGGTAGACACTGGCAGACATTTCTAATTTCCCTGTATGAATGTAAAGCATTAAACTGATTTCCGCATTAAACCATCAGGGCTGGTGTCTAGGCTGAAACACTGGAGTCTCAGCTGTGGAAAACCCTTGGTGAAATGGAGCTTGCCGTGAAGAACAAACACATCCTTCAGCCAACGAGACCCAGTTAAAACAACTGGGGAGAGAGAATATTAGGTCTCAGTATTCTCCAAGGACAATACATTTTGTTAAGATATTCTACAATTCTGGTTCCAAGGGGCTGCTTAATAAGATGTACACTGTGCATCCTTTTGTGATGATGCCTGAGAGGGGGGTGGGGGGAGATGAATGCACATTCTAAAACATTTATTGCTGTAAGTCATAGATACAGAGCGTATTCTAACAATATTTGTCAGCCATGTATCGGCACTTTCAGGATGATCTGCTGTGCTACTTTGTACGATTGCTATGGCAGAAATTTGGAGAAACCATGCAGATTCTTCAATTCTCACACATACACAAACCAACGCTGACTTTGGAAACTGCATCTATTCTGTGGTAGAGAAAGCTGAAGCGGGATCATGGTCTTTTGTTCTTTGAGGCTGGCAGAGCCTTTCTTTTCTGGGCTATAGAAGCTTACGGGCGTGGATCAGGAAATCAAAGTAGTGTTCTAGACATAGGAGCCCTAGCCATGATCTACTGGTTTCTACTGCTCTGGCAGGGGAGTGCCAGTCTGCTTGCTGTTGCCAGCACTACACGAGTCACCCTTCCCCAGGCAGAATTCTCTGTGGGCCTGACAGCTACTGGCAGCCCTGCGAAGCACAAACGCAGGATGCAGGAAAGAATCGAATGCTGAGGCAGCTAATGGAGAACTCCCTCCCACTGTCATGGGCAACATGATGGGATGCCAACCTTGCTATGAGACTTGAGGAAGTGATGGGGATGATTAGCTCTTGTTAGAACTCTGGGGCAGTCACTGTATTCATCCAAGAAGTAATAACCAGAATGTAAAAGAGCAAAGAAATGAGGAGGATTCTAAAGAATTGCATATCGAATTATACAACAATTTCTTTTAAAAAAAAACCAAGCCCCACTTATTTGCAATGAAACCATCCCTTTTCTAGCTTCCAGAAACTGGTTTCATTGTACAAGTAACTTTATTCCCCAAGTACTTATATCCTTTTCTAGTTTTCAGAACCTCTTTCTACATTGCACAAATACCTGCCCAAGTACCTACTCTCCACATTCTACAAATACCTGTACACTAGCTCAGAGGTATTTAGGTGGGAAAATATAGGTGCACACAGTAGGGCCTCTGTCCTCTAAGAAACCCTAAGTGTAGTTGAGGGGATGAGCAAAGAAGTCCACCAGTCCTTAAGGCCTCAGGTTTACTGTGTGGACCGCTTTCCAAAGCCATTCCGGTCTTGGGGTCGCTGAGCCTGCCTACTCCAGTCATGGAGTCACAGGGTCCTTTGGGGGCACCATCTGGGCCTGGGGACCATCTTGATCAGTGCCTTCACAAACATATTCAAAGAAGCAGGCAAGCCCAGCATCAGAGTCAATCAGTTAACCGAAGTTTGGTTAAGACATATATAAACGCTCCTTCCTTTTCATTCTTCTTATTCCCTTATTATCTTTTTTTTCTTAGAAGACTTTTTGGTCTTCAAACATGGTGTATACCACGGTGTATACGTGTTACCTCTCCCTGCCCCTCGACTCCGCCAACCCCCCCATCTTAGCCAGAACAATCACTGAGACCAACCCAGGCATGCCCAAAAGGCTCTAAGCTTACCCTCCTCTTAACCTCACACCTAAGTAGCAACAATCACAATTGGTTGGCCAAACCCTATAATTTCCAAACTCTCTATGTAATAATCATCTTTTCCAGTTTGTCCTTAAACACAGCTGCTTAGAACAGCACTGACGTTCTTGTGAAAATAGAGACACAGTAAACTCCAAATCAAAGACTGTACTGGGTTGCCTTAAATCTCAAGGTCTTGGGAAGTAGAGGAATTGTTATGGTAGAGAACGAATGAGAATATTAACAAAGAAACTTATAGGAGTCATAATCACTGAACCTTCTACTCCAGAGCATCCCCCAGGAGACCTGAATCCCCCAAGTTATAGCCCAAACCCGTGTTTCAAACACAAGATGAATTACAAACTCAAGGAACACTGTATCATAAATAAGCATATCCCACCGTCAGGAATGTTACCCAGAGAAGAAACTTGCATGAGAATTCCTGAATTCTCCATGGGAGCGCTAACTAAATACCCTTGTAATTGTGGTGATTAGACGCTCACATCTGTGAGGTAAACGCAATCATTCTTTCCAGCCATGGAACTATATGAGGATTTTCTTTTCTTCCTTTGGTAATAGTGTATCAAGCAAAACAAATGAACATGCTCACCAACTGCATGGGAATAAAGCATGACAAGGGAATGCTTTTGGGGCTGCAAAGGAAATCAAGACCATTTCTCTGCAGGCAGCAGTACATCTGGATTCTTCCACCCTCCATCCCGGGCTCAGGTGGGAGGTCTCGAGAAGAAAGTACACAGGCAGCTCAATTGTCTTTACGACCTCCATACCTAAGTATGGAGGAGGGCAGTTGGTTGGAAATTGTGACTGGGCATTCCAAAAGGAATCTCCATGGGAGCAACAAACAGAATCCCAAACAATCCTCTGTTGTTGACGAAAGGTTGTGTGTTGGCACGCAGCTGGTAACCCAACTGTGCGCGTGGTTTGAACCTACCAGCCTCTCCCAGCCACCACAGGCAGGAGTGGCAGTCTACTTTCAAAAAAAATTTCCCTCTTTGGAAAATGTGTGGGGCAGGTCTTCTCTGACTTACAGGGTTGCTGTAAACGAAGTACAGCTTGGTTTAAGGTGATGAAAGAGCCACAAGCTAGTCTATATGAGATGACAGTAGACAAAAACATTCCTTTCCCTAGGATTTACCTTCCTTAAAGATGGAAACTTTACATTCCCTTCCTTCTTACACGGCCACCATCCTATGGCCAAAGGAGTCTGATGCTTCAGGAAGATGCAGTAGTACTTGTCCAGTCATATGAGTAGGCGTCCAGTCCACAAATGGCTGAGTGCTTGACTACTAACCAAAAAGCAGGAGACTTAAGCCCACCTGGAGGCAACCTGGGATACAGACCTGCTGCTCTGCTTCTGAAAGTTCACAGACACTGAAAACCCGATGGAGCAAGGTTCGACCCCACATATAAGAAGTCACCATTCATTGCAAGTAAATATGGGGAGACTTCATCTTATGTACTTTGGACACGTTATCAGGAGAGACTAGTCCCTGGCAAAGGAAACACTGCTTGGAAGAGGGAAAGCGTGAAAGAAGGATTGATTCAGTGACACTGGGTTCAAAGGCGAGGAACATATTAAGGATGGTGCAGAACCTGACACCGTTTCATTCTGTTGTACACAGATTCGCTGTGGGGGTCGGGACCGACTGGAAGGCAACCAGCAACAAGAACAACAACATTGGGTGTAATGAACTTGAGAGCAACTGTGTGTATTTCCATGGTTTGTCATAAAAAGGCATGTGCGTCAAGTAAATGCGTGTTCCTCCGTTTTGGAAGTCCTTCCAGGAGCCCATTCTTGGATGTCTCTGTTCCAGCAGAGGCTGTTCCATAGCGAGTTGGTCAGCATGACCCCACCACCCCACTGGACACAAATCTCCTGTGCAGGGCACAGGCCCAGCCTGAAGCTCTGCTGCTCTTGAAAAAGAAAGGAGGAAGCAAAGAAAAGCCCAGAAGACGGTCGCTTGAAGGAGTTTGCCATCTGTACTTCTCCTGCTGGAGGCAGTTCCAGGTGGCGGGATGTGAGTGAGGCAAATCTGATGACATTTAGACAAATTTGGCAGTGAGCACGGCACCCAGGAGAGCACTCAGCACAACAGCTGTTCTTGCTTTCTGCCTTCACAGAAAGGTGTGTTCCTAAAAAGTGGTGGGAGAAGTGATTTGCAAGGAGTAAATCAAATCATACTTCCAGTGTGCCATGGGAGACGGCTGGAGAAAGGGATCAGGGAGGCTCTTCTGGTAATTATCTCTTAATTCATTGGGTTTCCCATGTCAGCTCTCCTCTCGGGCTGGCTGTTCCTAGTGGAGCCCACCAAACAACGTGGAAGAAGATTGGTGCTTCCGGAACGAACAACTATATGTTCCCTCGCCCTCTGGCTTTTGCGGGAGAACTCTAGGTGGCACAAGGAGTTGGTGGAAAGGTTGGTGGTTCAACCCCACTCAATGGCATCTCGGAAGACAAGCCTGGCTCTAGAAAGGCCACACCCTTGAAAACCCAATGAGTAGTGCTATTCTCCACACATACGGCTGCCATGACCCAGACCGGGTTTGACAGCCACGCGTGACTATGGAAACATGCTCTGTGCTTCATTCTTTTTTATTTTATTGCTTCTGTCACTGAATTTGGAGTCTTTGGAAGGACTACAGCAAGGGGTAAGGAAGAGGAAATTAGGTAAAAAAAACCAAAACTCTTACCAATTTAGCTAATAAAGGGTTTGCTAGGGAGAAAGGCCTGGAGGTGCTGAGAGACTTCTCTCCCTAGATGCCCTCCTTTCCTCCCTGATCCCCAAATCTTTATAGGTCTTCTCCTTTCGTGTCATTCCAGTCTCACCCCACAAAGAGCTCCCTGACTGCACTCCGAAGCACCTGGGAAGACTGGTTTCCAAGAAACCAGTCATGGAAAACCTCACAGAACCCACAACGCCAAGTTGGAGCTCATATTTTGGAGGAAATCTTTTTTTTTATGGGGGGGTGTTCATTTGTGGATTATACCTTGAATGGAATATCAATCTAAGGCCTATCAATTCCAGCAGGGCAGGACTCTTTGGGGGGTTCTTATTAGTTGCACCACCAGGCACCTGGCCTAGATGTTCAAGAAACAGTTGCTGAATGCCTCACTGGCTAAGTGGGGTCCAGTAGGTTCTCGAATGATCATATACAGTTTTCTTCTGACTTATGTTATCGCAGGAAGAGAAACACAGGTACAGAGTTAGGAACAACACAGCACCAATAAACATAGCCCATAATCAGGAATTCCGGCCCCGACTGCGAGTCTGTCACGTTGAGGACACCAGGGGAGCCACCCACACCCTCTGGAAAACGTCTACGGCTGTCGCCGAGGCCTGCTTACCTGCCCCCATAGTCGACACCAGTCTGGGCTTGCTGCGTGCGCCATCTCCTTTGGTGGTGTAGGCTGTGACGGTGAGGGAGTAGGATGTTTCAGGCTGTAGCCCAGAAATGATCATGTCCTGAAATGACACAAAACATGCCATGGACTGGAGACATGCACGGACACCCTGGGGGGCAGGGATGGATGGAACGTTACAGCCACTGTGCGCATGCGTGAGCATTCCCTGCAGCCATGCCAAGCGCTGGAGACGTCATGCCTGGAGCTCATGCTATGGAGGCTCTGTGTGCAGGCTAACAGTGAAGTGAGGTGCATAAGTCTTCAGGGCCGAAGACAGACCTACCTGGTCACGAGCATGGTGCTCTGAGGCAAGTGACTTGGTCCCTGTCTGCCTCAGTTTCCCATCTAAGACGTGCAATACTAGTAATAGAGGTCTATAGGGCTATGGGGGATTGATTAGGTGAGCCCTTAAAGCAGTGTCTGACTCTTCTGACGGGCAAATTCCAATGCTTCTGTTTCAGAGATCCTTCTCACGTGCAGGAGGGCAACGGACTGAGGCCCGGTTTGGTCACTGAAGCGTGTCGCCAGGAACTTGCCCACTTGGAGCCTTATTTAAGATTCTCAACCCCCTGGCTGTTGACCTGAGAACCTTATTTAAGTTTGCTGCAGTATCAACTAGTTGCCAGGCTAAGCTAGAAGTGGTTGTATGGGCACGTACCGGCCCACAGCCTGGCAAAGGGAAGGATGGTACTACAGTTGGTTTAATCACCATGCAAGTATCTGGTCAACTCTCTGTTGGACCCAGATACCCAGAGCTATTTCCTAGGTTTCGGCTAACGTAATTGCATAGGTTACGTAAGTGCATAGGTTAATCACTGAAATCATTATTCACCTAGGAGGATTCGAGTGGCTTGTGGAGTAGACCACAAAGTCCGAGAATCGAATGAGCCTTGGGCTCGAGCACATCACCGAGATGTGTTCAAGTAAGTCTGACTCATCAAGAAAAGCAACTTTCGAGGTACAAACTCCTTTACAAAGCTCTTGGTTTTCTCAAAGGAAGAGCCTCACACAGGAAGTACTTCCAGAATGATCTCTGAACCGGTTCTCCAAACAGGTTACACGATTCTTTATTATGCTGCTTATAGAGGGGTGCTAGGTATTGTCTTTATAGCTCTACACACACACACACACACACACACACACACACACACACACACAGCAGTGCAACGTCCTTTCATATTTTAGCAACAGCCACGGTTTCATATTGGACATGGCCACCCTTAAGAAAAGATGCCACATCCCTCGCCTCCTAATACACAGACAACTAGGGAGAGTGTGAAGTGGATGGACCAGGTTGTGTGAGCGCAGTAGGCTTTCTCTCGGTAGGGCTATTACAGACACAGGGGAACGTCAATCGTTGAATCTGATCCCCCAAATGGTTGCTTTTGAATATGTGTTCTTTTGAAAACAATGCCAATGTGGAAATTTGAAAATTTCAGATACCAGTCTGTAGTCATTGAAAATCCCTTTTTTGCCGGATGAAAGGAATGCATTTGGGTGAGAATTTCTTTTCAGCATCATGGGATGGTTGCCCTGACACTGATCCACGGAGGTCGAGTCGATCTTGACTCAGAGACCCTAGAAGACAGTGCAGAACTGCCTCTTTGGGGTTCAAGGCTGTAAACGGGAACAGGAAGCCTTAGCATTCTACTACAGAGCCACTGGTGGAGTTGAACTGCTGACTGTGGCATTAACTACCCACAGGTAACCCACTAAACCACCAGGGCTCCTTCTGACATTACCGTGGGTACAAAAATCAAGAATGATGCTGTGAATTACTGTGGACACAATGACAATGTCCCACATTACGATGGGTAAATTCAAACATCATTGTTTCCAAGGTCCTTCTAACATGTCAAAAAGCGGAGGAAAACGAAGCGAGGCTTAGTTCTGCCACTCCACAGTGCCACCAAGAACTTACCCCCTAGGAGCCTTACTGAAGTGTCTCAGTTATGAAAATTGGTTTACCCCCATGTGCAGAACACAGTGTTACAGGGTAAGGAACATCACATGATTTTGATGGGTCAGGTGGTCCGCTGTGCTACCATCTTCACTGGACACATCTCGACCAGCCGGGGTCATCTCAACTCCAAGGGGACATTTTCCTCCTTGGAGATGCAAACACACTTCCTTACCACTAACTTATAAGAAAGTTTCACTTGTGTCAAATTGACAAGTTCATTATCACCTGCGTATATCACACTCTAATGCTTCAATGACTGCTGATGGAATTCTCACCTTTGAAGAAGATATGCTTCTGCTTACACACACACACACACACACACACACACACACACACACACACATGCGTGCATGCTTTTCCCCCAACTCTAGCCCTGCTTACCTATTAAAATATCAACTACAAGATTTCCTGTACAATCCTGGTCCATTGTCTCCCAACTCATAGCTCTGATACTGTGACTCATTTGCTAATCCACTATTCACAGCTTTAGTTCACCTTTTCTGTGCCATTGTATGTGACCTTTCAGGAGTTTGTGTCTTCCTTAGCCATCTAATCTGTGGCAAGTGACATATCTCATATCCCCCACAGTGCCTTATACATAAGAAGCTGTCAATAAATGGCAGAAGACACATTAATTCAGGCATTTAAAGAACATCCCTCCCTCTGTGTGATCCTCTCTGCTTCTAGGCATGACTCTTTCCATTTCACTCCTGTCTGTAAGGGGGTGTGGAGGAACTGCCACATCTGAATATAGCTAATCTGAATACAGCTTGTTATCCACTGACCATGTATGCATGAGCACCCACATGCAACAAGCTGATATCTCCAGTCTGTGAAGCTTCCACTTCCAGCAGTCCTCCAGCGGCTGTGCCACAAGGCAAGTTTGGCAGCAGCCATCAAAACAAATAGCATGAGTCCCTGACAATCGTGTGCAATCAGTAGCACCGTGCCAATTCCACAAACCCCAAAACCAAGCTTTCTTTTTTTAAGTAAAAGTGTGAAGATAACACAGTGAAGATAACTTAAAAATATTTTGTTAGTTCATGCATCTTAGGAAACCCGGATGTCATTGTCCTATCATAAACACATTAAAGATGGCTATCAGAAAGCACAAGCATATATGCAACTGGTTTTGAGAAATCAATCAATAATTACTCACATGTTCAGTAGTATCATCAAATTCCCACTGATTGAGATTAGGAGGTTTGGGGGTAGGGAGCAGGGAGAAACAAAATAAAAAGAAATGAAGAGAAATCTGTTGCCCCGAGAAAGCAAATTTGCCCTCTTTATACTAGAATACAGTTGGCAATGGAAACAGCGGGTATAATGCAATTTCAAGGAGTATTCAGTGTTATGGTGATATTACCATCACCAATCGGGAGATTAAAAGTAAATATGCTCTGGCATATATTCAGTACTAAAACCTGTTCTAAAAAATATATTATACATGTATAAACGACAGGTTCATTTAAAGGAACCAATAAGGCATAACAGGAAGTAGATGATTCTAATCATACAGCACTGTGTGACATTTACCTCGACTCCTTTCCAAGGTTGCAAGATTAATTCAAGTATCCATTTAGATGAATATCTTTCATTAATATCATATTCTTACGGCTCCAATGAAGGACTGCAAGACTTAATGAAATCTTAACCGATCGTCAAAGAGAATTTATGAGGTGGGCAAGAAAAACACCAGGAAAATCAGCCATTAATGAAGAGCCAAAGTCGCAGAGAAGAGAGACAATGTAGCACAAAGATTCGGTTGACATTTGTAGCAGTGGGTGCACTTTACCTCCCTGAGTGATTGTCTTCTCTCAAAAATGGAGACACAAGTACAGTTCTGTATCGTGTAATGACAAGTATCTCAGACCGAAATGCTCACAGCAAAGCATTGTTGGACAAGTGGATTCATTTTCATAATGGCAAATTTAAAAAAAAACGATAGGCCACCATGGCTTTAGCCATTTTGTAGTTTGAGCACCCCTTCTTTTTTTTGGACTAAAATAAATAGAAGAAGCAAGTCCATAGGCACTTGCCGAGGCTGAAAGACAACGAGAAACCTCGACTGAAATTCCCAGAAGGAGCTTTCGTCTCCAAACCACCCAGCTGAGGGTGTGCTGGGAGGAGCTGAGGGAGATACGAATGGAAACCCCCTTCGTCACACTATGATCAGGATAAACAGGCAAACACAAGCACTTGCGTGACTTCCGCTCCATGGAGACGTTGCGACAAAAACCTACAATGAAGCTGGAGTCGTTTTGCCTCCCGCTTCCAGAGGGAAGAGTGCAGATCTTCACACCCTCAGACAGAAGTTCTCAACTTGTTTATCATCTTTCTTGTTTATAAGCAGGGGAATTTCCATGGAAATATATTTATTTCTTCTTGTTCCTCTTTTTTTTTTTATTTAAACAAACCACCGAATTCTCTCCTGCCTCGTCACCAATTTTCTGAGGAGAAAACACTCCGATATTCACTCCCATCCAACCCCATGGGCACCGCAGCAACTCCCAGCCCACTCCCTCTGAGTCAGCTCGGACGGAGGACTCCTGAGGTTAGCCCAGGGGTTATAGAGAATCGCCGCCAAGGCCAACTTTTCCTCCTCCTTTCATGGTATTATGTGGTATAAAAGTAGATTTGAGAATGCTCTGGAATAATTTTTAAATGACCACAATTTTTTCATAATGCTCTGCTTTAAACAACAGATTACAAAATTAAGTTGTGACATCATGGTTGAAAACGAATAGCTGAGAATCAATGGAATTTCCCATATACTCTATGACTCACTGCATACTTTACTTAATTTGCTCAACATAGGGGATGCCAATTAAATGTGGAGAATCTGATTTTTGTCATCCTCATTTGTATTGTCATTTCTTAGGACATGAAGCAATCCCCTCAAATATGGAATGTGTCAAAGGGGTACTAGGTTAAGACGCTTGAGTACTTTCCCCCAAGACAATACATTCTTCCCTGAAAGATGTCATACACTTTTCAAATTAGATCAACCTCATTCCAAGAAATTTTAGCTCCTCAGAAAAGAGATCCCATCAGCAAAAGATTGGCCTAGAATTCTTCCCTCTAATTTGATTCCATCAATCCACATCTGTGAAGTTGGAAAAGCCAACACGGAAGGAACCGTAGTGCAGCGAGTTCCTGTATTTTTAGAAAACAGTACCATGGTTTTCATCGGACTCAAGTAAACACACCACAGCCTACTTCATCACTCGATGGAAATGTTAATTCAAAAGGTAAATGCACATCCATGTGGCTCACACTCTACACACTGGGAATTTTGCACCAGGTTTTTAAACAAATGCCAACATTTTAGAAAGTAGGTGCATTTTGAGATGCCGTGGCTTTCAAGATATTTTGAACATCATATGAAGCGCATCAGATAAAAAGATCGCTGAATGTTCTCAGGGTCTTACCTGTGCATCCGCCAGCATGACATCCTTTAGCATGGGCTGGCCCTTGGGCTCACCGTTTTCCATCCTCACATAATGCACCTGGTATCCTCGGATCTGGCCATGCTGTTTGTTGGGCACAGGGGAGCGCCACGAGACTTTAACAGATGTCGAGTTGACAGCCTCCACCTCGACTTTGCGAGGTGGACCACTAGGAACTGGAACAACATCATCGGATCAAAGAACATTATCGGCACTCGTCCCACCCCGTCAGTGCATTTTCTTTACTTAGGTTTCTTTTTTAGGAGAACAAAAAAACGGGTTGACCTACTACGTTTCCTTTGAAGAACACACACATTTTCAAACCATTGAAAATGCTCAACCAATCTGCTCTACCTTTTAAGAAAAGATCAAAAAACATGATCGATGCAAAAAGAAAAAAGAAAAAAAATGGAAGAAGAAGAAAAAAAAAGAGCATCAGAGAAATAGAAAAAACATGTCAAAATGTACAAAAGCCAAGGCAGATGCTTTGAGTTTCAAAGCATTACAGCACAAAGAGGTACAGCGTTGAAATAATAACAAAAACTGGTTGTTGACCGTTGTGTGGCTTTTAGAGCTTTCTTGTTTTTGTAACAGAATAAAAAGATGCTTGGTTAGATAGATTATCTTCTTTTTTTTTTTCCTCTCTCTCTTATCAAAGGTATTCCATACAAAAGCTGCCAAAAATTCAATGCCGAGCAGAGCATCGGTGTCTCCAAAATATGCAAGACCAAAAGGCAACAAGAAGATAAGAAGGTTGTTTTGAAAGTCCACTTTCGAATACAAGAAAAAGGAAGTGACTTACAAAAAGCCACAGGGAAAAAACAAAACAAAACAAAACACACACACACATTGGAGAATTTTTAGAAGGCGATACAGAGCCAAGGCTGGATCGCAAGGCCACAGCTGCACACTGTCCTTCTAAGAGGAAGCCAGCACTGTGTTGAGATTGAAAATTGAAAAATTAAGAAGGGGAAAAATGAAAGCCCAGGTCGTAGCAAAGGCAGGTCTTTGGCAAAAATATTGACGTTAGAGAGGTGCTGGGTTAGAACAATGAGCAGAGGAAGATGGAAAGGTGTTAGCCTATTAGGAGACTGAGTGTCAGAGGGTGCAAACGACGGAGTAGAGTAACGTACCATCTTCATCGGTTCGAATCAACAGGGACAAGCTCTCAGGGCCAGGGCCAACGTCCGTGTGGGCTGTCACAGCAATCTGGTATTCAGTCCATTTTTCCAGCTGTTCCAAAAGGTACTGGGTAGTGTCCGAAGGAATTCCCAAAATCTCATGTGGCTTGTCATCTTCTCCGTCCATGGCTGTGTACTTGATGGAGTATTCGGTGATGAGGCCATTCTGTTTGTCCACGGGTGGAGGTTGCCAACTTACCAAAATGCTAGTGGAACTTGGGCTGGTGCAACTAACGTCTTGAGGAGGAGCTGACGGCTCTTATTTTGGTAGTGAGTTAAAGGAGGATTTGAGTGAAAGGACAGGAGTGGTTGAGAAAACAAAATGATAAAACAAAAGAAAAGGCAAAAAATAAATAAACGAACGAGAAGGGCAACGCAACAAAACCGAAAGAAATAAGGCTTTGAAACTTAAAAAAAAAAAATGAAACAAAACAATCGTTTTACAGATACATTTGTGGACCTTGGCTTAGTCACATGAATAAACCAAAATATGAATAAATGAACCAAAATAATTGTTAAGAAATCATGAGTGGGGGAGAGGTGAGAAGATGAAATCTCAAGATTGGGGAGCCTCAAGTAAAAAGCACCTACCTGTAATGTAAATTCCTCTTCTAAAACCCTCTTTCAGGACCCCCACCCTCTCCTATACTGACTACATCCAGCTTCCTGGAAGCTGCCAAGAGGGAATGCTCTGGGACTCAACAGGCTGCTGAGGCTTCCTGCATGGTGTTCCTGGCCGCCACAGCGACATTCTAGAATGAAGACTGTTCACATACAGGGTTCATTTGTCAGGGTTTTAACTGAGGGAATTTGCAGCCACTGCAAAATCCCAGTTGAAAAATAAAACGTACCCAAAAAAGAAACCCCAAAACCAAAATAATCCAAGCTCCAACATTCAAAGAAGGCTTCCCGATGACTGACGACCTGCTTCCGCAGGTCTGAGCAGCCTCCTGAGATATGCTAGCCCTACACTGATGTAAACCCATAAACAGGGAGCATGCAGAATCAACGGAGGATGGAAATGCAGAGGCTGGGTTTTACCTACCGAGGGCAATGTCAGGCTGGTGGATTCTGACTGTAACTTGTACTTACCCTACATCAGCTTTCAACTGTTTTATTATAACTCTTCTTGATACACCATTGCTAGTGAAAAATTAGAGCCCACCAGCAAAATTTTGGTAAAATTCAATCATCATCATCTACCCTTTACAAAAGGTCAATAACAGCCATTCCATAGAATTGTTTACAACCAACCATCCAACCCACCCACCCTCCCACCCCCAACCCACCCACTCAAAGAACCATCTGAAACAATAAGACGTGTGCAGATGCTCTTTCACCTTGTACAGAATTGTCTACAGGCAATAAGGTTTCTTTAGGTGCCAAAATCTATCCTTTCTTACTGTCCATTTAAAAATAAACTGGCCACCTGCTAAAGAAACTAATTTCCATACAAATGAGCCAAATACATCATTATTTAAGGTGGAAAAAACCCTAAAAAGCTGTAATGAATAATGAAGCTACTATCATAAATTGCTTCTAGAATTAATAATGTATGCTCCTAAAGGGGAACAAGCAAGTGGAATTATACATATATAATTTGTATATATAAAATGACATCTCTTTTCTTGTTAACGGTCATTCATTTTACAGAGAATGATGCCGCCTTCTTAGTTGGTGTTTGTCAACTCAGTGCGTTGATTGGGAATTCCCGTGGACTCCTGGGTAGTCAATCCTCTGGAGGTCCAGGTGAAACCCTTCAGAGGGGCATGGGTCTCTCCTAACGTTCATGCCTGTGGTGGCCATTATTCCCGTGGGTTCAAATGGAGATCTTTCTCGACCAACAAGAAAGACACCCCCAAAGGGCAGCCTCGGTTATTTTGAGTAAACTGCTAGAACAACATTTTTATTGATTCTGACTAGAGGTTCTTATATCTCAAATTATAAAGCTATTTGATAGGCATTATCATTATAACAAATTGAATCGTGTGTGGAACATTAAGGACTCTTCTGCAGTTCTTTTTAAAATTCAGATTTTTTTCCCCACAAAAGCAAGATTGCTGCCTTCAGCTGACCTCCTATTCTGCTGGAATCTATTCAGCGATGTTTGAAAGTTTCACTCTGAGACAATGGAGTCTAGACAGGCTGTGGATATGGTTATTCAAAGACCACTGTATCTGTATGTGTTTATATGTAATATGCAAACAAGCGAGAGGTTTATAACCCATGAAGAATACCCTATGGAAACATGTCACATTTATTTAATTAAATGACTGATTCTAAGAAATCATCTTCTACAGTAGCACTTCTGGGCCTGCCTGGGGTTCGGAGTAGACTGAGGGAAATAGCATTCATTAACATGCTTTGGTACGTAAAGGAATACACACTTTAGGGGAAGAAACTCTTGTCACTATGGAATTAAGCAAAAGAATCCCACTATTTCTCACATGAATAATCCAGTTTTTAAGAAAAGGAAATACACATCCTGTCATTTAAGAATCTTGTCACAGTTCAAGCTTCTCTAGAAATGACGGCAGGCATGTTTACATTTAGATCATCCAGTGATCCAAATGTCATGCTTTCTGAGGGGTCTGAAAATTAGGGCAACTTTACAAAGTGAACGCATTCATATGTCACATATCCCTTAGTCGTAGCAGCACAGAAAAATCACACAGAAAATCCTATGAAAGTAACCCCATGAAAGCCTTCAATACACTGGAAGTGACTATGCATCCGACTAAACGTGGATACTTTTAAAGCGCAAACACTAGCATTATAAACTCCCATATAATACTTTATGCCAACTGATCTGCTCTGAGTACAAATACCCCCCTGTGATCAACATAACTAAGGCCTTAGAAGAGTTGGGAGAGGGGGCAGTTGAACCTGGGGAAACAAAATAGAATTTAGGATCGCACATCTCCAGCAAAGGTGGCTGTGATTATTCCATTATTGCTACATTTGCCCAAATACAGATTTTCTGCCCATGTCCCACATTTCCACAGGGACAACATGCAGATTAAATAACCAGGCCCAAGAACTAAGGTTCACTGAGTGGAAACAAAAAGGCAAAACACAGACTGCCTTGCTAGCCAAATGACACTCGGTGTCATGCAAAAAGGAGAAGGTATTGGTCTCTGGGCAGCCTCTTTGGTGGTCAACCGCCCTAGCTCATTGCTTCCTGGTTTCCTCTCACCCAGAGCTTTGCTTTCCTCCAAGGGCGCCCAATCCATCTCCTTGCTTTTGTTTCTCGTTTGGATACTCAGAGCATCTCTGAGACTCTTGGCATTAGGACCTGGGAGAATTGGACCTACAACTTGGGCCAAATCTGAAATCAGCTTTGACTATGGCTAGACCCTAAGCTCAACCTTGGATGCTTGTGAGAAATCTGTGACTCAAGCATATCAGCAGGGTTTTATTGGGGGGGGGGGCATGTCAAAACCCAACAGCAGCTGCTGGTGGAAGTGAGCAAAGAGAGACACCTACTTGACTGCAAGGTTCTAGCTGATATTTCAGCTGTCGAAGCGCCCAGGCCTTGAGGAGAGCGAGCAGCCAGACGGAAGTAATACAAGCTGTTTGGTTTCAGCCCTTGGAGCCGGTAAGATGTCCCTGGTTCGATAGCAATCCGTTGCTGTAAGTAATTAATTGGAGAACTCAGTCACTTCTATGAAGTTCCACAGCATTCTGTGTGTGTGTGTGTGTGTGTGTGTGTGTGTGTTTTAAAACACACTGCCTGGCATACTGCTGTCTGACCCATGTGTTGTAGTGGCATAAAAACAAAACAAACAAAACACAGTCAACAGAGAATAATCAAGGATCCTCTTAGGGGAGTTACACATTTGCAACCAGCACTTGTCTGTCCCGTGTGTCTTTCTGTGGCAGCTTGCAGGCTGCTGTGACACTGGAAGCTCTGCCAATGATATTTCAAATGACAGCAGGGTCACCCTTGGCGCACAGGTTTCTGTGGAGCTTCCAGACTCGGACAGACCACAAGAAAGGAGGGGCTAATTTAAGGTGACCAGACGTCCCGGGTTTTAACAATTTTTCCCGTGTCCCGCGGAGTTTTTAAAAAGTGCCTATTTTTGGAAAGGATGCACGAGAAGCTAGGGTATACGGTTTTCAGGTGCCATGTGGCTATTTCACCAGGATATGAGTTTTATCAATGGTGTCCCACTTTACCAATGTTAAAACTTGGTCACCTTAGGCTAACTACTTATGAGGGGTGACGCACTGCACACAGGGTGGGTAGTGGAACATCGTCAGATACACTGAAGGCACTCAACACACAACTGAGGAAGAGCTGTGTCCTCAAATCAGAGTTGACCTTAATGGTAACATAGAAGGTCCCTGAGAAAGAGGAAGACCTTCAATGAGATGGAACCAATTCAATGGCAACTAGCATCCACAACAATTGAAATCTCCACATTGGAAAGGCACATGTTTACAGACAGGCAACTGGAAACCAAGATTGGGGGGAAGGGGTGTAGGGCAAGAGCTCTTTATGAGGTGGATCAAGTTCTCCAAAGGAATCAGATAAGAGGAAGGCTGAGAAGCCACCTCCCATCCAATGCGTTCTCTTCAGGGCTCATGTGCTGTTGCCAACGCCCATGTTTGGGAAGTGTGTCCACCTGGCAAAATTTCAATGGCTAAGCAGATGAGTAGTTCATCTCCCGACCTTCTGCGAAAAAATATGCCCCAGATTAGCAACAGTCCTTACTTCTGTAAAACCTGTCAACGCAGGAATCTGTGCAAGACAGAGATTTGAAGGAAGGGAAACAGAAAAGGGGTGTCTGGCCCCTGCCCAAGGTGGAAAACTTGTAAGACCTGGATGAAGCAGGCATTCCCATGGAGGTCTAGAGCTCCTAGGTTTCATGAATACAGTTCATAAGCGGATAGTAGACAAGAGGCTCAGGTTTGCTGACCCGTGGCTGGCCTCTAAGTGAAATGTTATTCTGGTCACTTCTGTGAAACCATGTCATTATCCCAGATGGATTCAAATAATTTTTTGAACTCCCTTTCTTTAATGAATATAGAACCCAGAGTAAGGGAGGGAAATGACAATTTTTTCCCCTATAACTTTTAACGTCAAAAAGGCATTTGGAAAGAGATGCTTTTAATCAAATGCTGTCACTTTTACTTGAAATGCTTGAAATTTGCCTTTGAATTTTAGCAAAAATACAGCTGTCTATGGGTAATCAATTTCAGATTGAACATTAGCTTGCAGTAAACCTTAAAATACAAGCTCATATGTAATCTACAAAGGACATAAATAATCTTCAGGCTTATTTTAAAAAATCCAACAGTATATGCTGCTCACGCAAATCAAAATCAATCATGAGGAATTCAAATAGGAAGTGAGAGTAAACCTCCCCAGGGTACTCTAACTTACAAATGCAAGCCATTTCAAAAATTTCAGATTTACCAAACAACAAGGAAAAAACCACCACACAGGGATTCCATACATAAATAAACAATCATGGAGCCAACATCTGCACGCTAAGCAAATGATACCAGAAGCTGGGCTCTAGGAAGAAGAATGTGGCATTGGGATGGGAGAGAGACTCATTCACAAGCGGTGAAATGCCCACGGCACACCTTGCTTCCTGAAAGCTAAGAGGCCATGAAGCACTTGCTGATGGAGATCAAAACACCCTTCACGGGACCTCAGTATACACTTTTAGAAGTCCTCACAACTGGACCAATACACAGCATCCTGATAAATGCAGAAAACACCGACATTATCAAATATTTCATTTACACCAACCCTCATGGAAGCAAGAGTCAAGAAATCAAATGATGTACTGCAGTGGAGAAATCTGTTATAAAGGAAGGGCCTCTTGAAAGTGCTACAAAGTAAAAGGTGTCCCTTTGAGGCTTAAGAGGTGCCTGACCCAAGCACCTCCTGGTATTTCAATCACCTCTTCCCCATGCAGTGAACAAGGCAGACCAGAGGGGTCTCAGTGCCTCTGACTTAGGGGGTTAGTGAAGGAGCACCTGTCTTAGAAGGAGTTCAGTCAGATTGTTCCTAAGAAAGTTAGGCTGGTGAGATTTCATCTCAGGGACTTTGGCCATGTTATCAGGGGAAACCAGTCACGGGAGCAGAGGGAAGGCTTGGCAGAGGGTCAGTGAAAAGGAAGACGACCCTCAACGAGGTGGGCTGACACAGTGGCGGCATCAAAGGCGATGATGAAGGTGCAGAAGCGGGCAGTACTTTCTTCTGGTGTGCGTAGTAGGGTCACTATGACTCAAAACCGACTCAGCAGCAAAGCTAACACTCAAGCACCTATGCTTGCCTTCCTGCCAAGGAGCCTCATTTTGCTGTACTCATATCTAATCTATGTATGCCTGTGTGAGTGTGTGTATTCGCACATTGATACATTTAGAGGTAGTGAGCATTTAAACCAGACATTGAAAATTCTATGGAGCACAGTTCTCCGCTTGATATCCGTGGGTCACCACAAACTGGAATGGACTTGATGGGAACCCGTTTAAAAATACCAACAGCTCAAGTTGTTAGAATCAGTACTTTAAGTTATGACTGCATTTCAAGTTCGTAACTGAATGCTTCATTTCTGTTGGCTTTGATAAATCCCAAAGCACTGCATTTAAAACGTGTTTTCCAGAGATGCTGCTCAATTCAATTCTAATAAAATCGAAGTTTACAAGAACATATTGATTTATTGTCACACTCACAAATACATACCAGTGAATTCATTTAGTACTTGAACATTTTAAGAGGCATTCCTTATGAGAAGGCAGGGGCTACCTATCTGGTGAAAAGCCCGGTCTTAGGTAAAGCATGGTCAGTTGGTTTGGCAATGCCTGTACGGTGATTCAGATTCATGGGAAGCCCATGTGTGCGAAGCACAGCTTCATCTCATCAAGACTTCAAGTTCATGACCTTTTGGAAACGGATTACAGTCTTCTCCGATGCCTCTGGGTGGACTCAAACTTTCACAGAGTTTGTTTCAATTAATTTTATTTGGTCCTAATGTTCCCTATTGGATTTCATAGTAATTCCAGGTGTAGTTTCATTACTATTATCTCTTCCCATCCTGAAAATACCAAGTCTACATCTGTTCAGAATGCCTCAGATACTGTGTCCCCTGGTAGTGACAAACACAGATTCTGACTACTTAGATGCCAACCCCAGCTCTACTATCCAGAGTGTGTGGTTATGGGACCTTGGGCAAAGCCGTTTACTTTGTTCTAAGCATCCGTTTGTTCTATGTGGAATGGACTGAAGCTAGAGCCTCACAGCTAGTCCTGTTGTGGAGATTAAGGAGTCAATGGATGCAAAACATTTAAAACAGTGGCTGGCAATAAAGCTGTGTAACCTACGCAGCTTTATCTTTCCCCAATTGACCAATTTCTACCCTTTCTGTACTCCATTATCATTTCATTTGTACAGAATAGTCAACGTTTCTTCCCAGCCATAGCATATAGTTCTCAGTATACTGGTAAGTGTCTGTGCCAGGGCTACCATCTCTGAAGCCAGTCTGGACAACGCCACCGAGCTAGCATATAGAGCTCATCTGCCACTTGCTATGTGCTGGCTTACGACCTTTATTAATGAAGAAGGGTGAGGAAAGGTGTTCTTCCAAGCCTTGTGGCTTCTTCTTTTTGTCTTCCTTTTCTAATCTTCTACAAGTTGATACTTATCTAGAAACTGAGCCCAAAGGAGTCCCAGGAGGGGTAAGAGTTGTTTTCCGTGTGTTTGTGCATGCCCGCCCCCGTACTCCCAGAGCTTCAAAAAATCCCTCATAGGTAGCTAACCTTGAACCAGAAATTGGTCAGTCAGAAAAGTGCAGTCCTGTTCCTAAGTAACCCTGGTGGCATACTGCAAATCCACTGGGGGAGCAGTTCAAGGTTAGCACGAAGAAGTCGTGGTAATCTGTCCCCCCAAAAGTGAACAGCCCAGAGAGAGCCTATGGGGCAATCCTACTCTGTCACGTGGTTGTTCTGGTCAAAAAAGGCCTCCCTGGCACTTGATGACAACACAGCAATGTCCAGGGCTGGAATGATGGCAACGGCGAGAAGTACGGCCTTACCTCCTCACCCTGCTCTCCGTCTTTGTAGACTAGCTCATAGCTGGCGATGGTGTCGGAACGCGGCGGGGTCCAAGAAAGCAAAACGCTGGTTTCAGACTCGGGTTCTGCTTTGAAGTTGAGGGGTTGCCCTGGGACTGAAAACAAGGAGGCAAAAGATTGAGCACACCCACATCTGGTGGAGTCACAAATTCTTTCAGGAGCGCATCTGTTCAAACCCTTTACAAACTGTCCGTGTCTGTCCATCTGAATTAACACCATCCCACTGAACCCGCCAGGATATAGCGCTCGCTCCCTCTGCAGAATGAAGGTTCCCACACCTTGCTTTGAGTCACCTAGCTCCAGTACAGGAGACCTTAGAGGCAGAATGTATAGAATAAATCTGTCTCTGAATTGTTTTCACGATAACCTAAGTATTTACTTCCAAATGCTGTTGTGAGGAATAAATGCGATGACTTATATAACGTGCAGGGACTGCTGCTTAAAACCCAACAAGTGCCAAATAAATAGAAGCTATCAACATTTTACAACTGGATGGGCACTTATTCTTTAGCACTGCATGTACCTTTCAAACTGATTTCCAATTATGTTTATATATTTCTGCCTCACTCCTTTAACAAGACCTAAAGGCATGCAGAATCATCTAGTAATTTTTCCCCCTTATGAACTGGCATCTTGAAACCACGGTGGAAACCAACCAACCATTATGTACCAATTAAAAAAATAAACAAAAACCCCAAACTCCCTTCCACAGAGTCATGATGACTCACTGCGGCCCTGCAGGACATGGGAGCACTGTCCCTCTGGGTGTCTGTAACTGCAATGCTTCACAGGGCTAGAAAGCCCAGTCTTTACTTTGAACTCCTTCATGACCTTCTATTACTTTCATGGACTAATGAAGACATAATACTGTCCCTCGTACAATGGATGCAAACACTATGCTCTGATAGTTATATTTATAGACTACACGTAGCATCAGAAATATGGCTAACATAACAGAGGCCAGTAACAATGCTCTTTCCTAGTAGTTGCTTTGAGACCTGTGCAGCAGAGAAGCCAGGAGATCTATCGGTGAAGTTCTGTAGATAACTGCAGGTTTCATCTATGTGAACAAATTTTACCACCATGCTGTCTGAGAGTTACTTTATCAAACTCACTGCCATCCAATCAATGCTGACTCACAGGGGTTCCCTGTGGGTATCTGAGACAAACTGTTTGCCAGAGTGGAAAAACCAGTCTTTCTCTCGTGGAGCTGCTACCGGTTTCGAACTGCTGGCCATGTGGATCACAGCCCAATGCATATAAGCATTACACCATGAGGGCTCTTTAACCAGCAGGTGGATAATGGATGACTAACCTCTTAGTCACCTTTCAGCCATTATCCACAGCTGCATTGGCATAGCTACTGTCACGATGCTCTTGGCCATACCCTGTGCCCATGGCCGGCATCTGTGACTTTCTGGTTATCTACTACGATCAGGACCCTTGACATGAGAGTTCATCTCAATGCGCTATGTCTAAACATTCACCCCAAATCTCAGACGTTAAACATCAGACTCTCATGCATATTTAATTTTTTAAAAAAGGATACTTCTTCACATAGCTGGGGGGACTTTGAAAGTGTATTTAGGGCAATTTGGACATGAACATTTAATGCCACACACAAAAAGTCAAAAAAAGGTAGTTTATTAGTTCTTGAAGCATCCTTTTTTATAGAAAAGGAGTCCCTTGAGAAGATAAAAAGAATTGCTTTTCACTCCCCTTATAGTCATCTCTCTGCACGATGGCTTTAAAGAAATCCCCTTTGTTTACAGAGAGATGAAAAACACAAGTTTGCAAGGATGGATCCTTATGATCCTGTTATTCTTCTGATTTGTCCACCTCTGCATCTATATCCAAGGCTGTGCTCGTGTGTGTGTGCCTAGAAGAGGGTCTCTGTGTGTGTGCAAGTCTGTGTACACACGAATGTCGGGATTGATGTTTTAGGCCACCAGGCATTGGTGCTTCATATTGCTGGCTGCCTTCAGCATCTGCTCTCTTTCACTTTTAATCACAGGTCTTGAGATTCACATTCATTTGATGGTCTCTGGGAACAAAGTGTCTGAGAAAGCTAACTTTTTTTTTTTTTAAGTACCTGCCCAGTAGATGATCTAACACAATCGCTCAACCTGTGAAGTGAACACATAAGATAGAAGTTCAAGGAGAAAGAGAAAAACCAAGGGAAACAAAATCCAGGCAACAAGCGGAGTGTAAAAATCAAGCACAAAAGGCCAGGCAGGAGCCCCCAATGGAAGCCGAGGACGATGGGGCAGACGAGAACATGCAGACTGGGCGCTAACATTCAGATGAAGAAAGACCTTCCCACACTAGAAATCCACACACCCACGCATGTACATATAGAGACTTCCTGTTCTTCTATAAGAGCGCTCATTTCCCCACGTAGATAGATGCCTGGGAAAGTCTTACCTTTGGAGAACCCTCTTTGACTTAAACCAAACTTGAACGCCAAGTCACCAAGAAGAAAAAAAAAAAAACAACCACCACAAAAAACATGGGCGGTACTGAGGGGCTCTCAGGAAAACTATGACTTTGTTCCTCTCAGCCTGAGGTGAGTAATAGGTGACGTAGAAAGTAACATGATGTAAAGTCTCTTGGAAACCTAATGAATGCCTATTTAGGTGGCTCACTTTTTGCTTTCGATTTAAAGAGATTCCCTGTTGGTCTCATTGTTTCATTCTTGGGTAGTGAAACCAGCTGCACTTGACCTCATGATAATGGGGTCTAGTAAAAGCCTCTTTCTTTCTACAGAAAGTACTCACATGGTACGAACAGCTAAGCACTCGATGACTAACCTAAAGATTGGAGTTAAGAATGCTCCTTGAAAGATGATGCTGGCCAGTATTGTAGACACAGTGTG